TCCTGAAGATTATTTTCTAAAAATATTGGCCTCATTATCTAGATTTCAGAAACTTTGTGCTAGTTTATGCATTTCCAAAAAAAGGGGCGGGGGCTTTTTCTAAAATATCGGCCGAAGATTTTGAATTATATTTATATTTATGTATTTTCTGAAAAAAAGCATTTTCTAAAATATCGGCCTAAGATTTTGAATTATATTTCTTAAGTATTTTCTGAAAAAAACTGCATTTTCTGAAATATCGACCGAAGAGGCCTTGGCTTAAATATGCTTAAAGGACGGTGATGCTTTTATTATCAGTCATAGCTGAGCAAACAAGGATTTTTTTTTTTATTTCAGTCTCATATAACAATATACTCATATACTAGTAAGATAAAGTTCAACATTATAAGTAAATTATGCGCATTGAACTCTTAAGTGTGTTGTCAGGCAATTAGTTCGATAACACTGTTATATAGAGGATGGGAGGGAAGTAGACAGAGAGAGAGAGAGAGAGAGAGAGAGAGAGAGAGAGAGAGAGAGAGAGAGAGAGAGAGAGAGAGAGAGAGGCAGACAGACAGACAGACATAGAAACATATGTACATATATATATATATATATATATATATATATATATATATATATATATATATATGTATGTATGTATATATATACATATAAATCGTGTGTGTGTGTGTGTAAATGCGTATACAAACACACACACATACACACACAAACACATACACACACACACACACACACACACACACACACACACACACACACACACACACACACACACACACACACACACACACATATATATATATATATATATATATATATATATATATATATATTATAATGAAGCTGAATACTTCTGCCATTCTGAATCTAAAAGGCGCACCATTCCTAAATCGCTACATTGACCTTAAGGGTTCATGAAATGTCTCTGAATCTCCCGGCGAGAAAGAATCATCGATTTCATATGGAATTTGGGTGGGAGAGGGGAAGGATAAGGTATAAGCCCTGGTATAAGCCCCACATAAGCTTATTTTGTCATGGTTCTGTTCCAGTCCCCCCCCCCCCCGCCCCGCCCCGTTGCAAAATAAAACCACAACACAATGAAGTTATAAAATAAAAAACTAAAGAATTACGAATTAAAACCATAATGAGCAAAGATAATAATAAAATTGAAAACTTACTTAAAAAAAACGAAAATCAAGGACAAGGTTGGACAAGACCAAGAATAAGACGACTAGAGAAATACTGGGAATTAAGCGATGCCGGGAGAAGCTCCGGAAGAGTCGACTTAGTTGGAGGGATAGGAGGGATGGAGAGTACGTGGTGTATAGGAGGGATGAAGAGTACGTGGTGTATAGGAGGGAAGAAGAGTACGTGGTGTATAGGAGGATGAAGAGTACGTGGGGAAGAGATTTATGAGTAGGATAGTCGGAAGAAGAAAGAGGGGGCGACCCAAGAGGCGGTGGATAGACTGCATTAGAGACGACATGAGGAGCGTCGGGCTACAGGAAGAGGAGGCCTTAAACCGGAATGCGTGGAAGAGACGGATCCGCACCGGCAACCCCGCACAGGGAACAAGCCAGTAGAAGAAGAAGAAGAAGGATAAAAACCGCTAAAGATAAGAAGACTAAAAGTGGTGGAATCCAGCAGATGGAAAAATGCCGTTGCCGGAAGGTACATATTGCCCGGCAGGGGAGCGCGTGGAAGGGGATGAGCACCGCGGGAGAGAAGTAGTAGTAGTATGTATATATATATATTCTTTTAAACAACCATTCATTCCACTGCAGGGAATTCACTTCACTTCAATTCACTATTGAGAGGTTATATGGCAGTGTCACCCTTGCTTGACTGTGTGCTTTGGAAGGGCGATAATAAACGCAGGAAGATAAACGTGACATTTCAGAAAAGGAAAATAATCCCTTCTGTCTTTTCTCGACTTCCCGTTCCTCCCATATTTCAGGTCCACTCTTTCTGCTTCCAGACTGTCTGTCTGTGTTGCATCACAGTGTTTCGACCTTTCCCGTGTCATATCCTTCCTCTAAAGCCTCATTCTATATTCGATCACGTAAGACCAATATAATGCGACGATACAGAAGGTTCACTTCTGGTCCTATTTGGATCTTGCGCGAGGCTAGCCAATTTGAACCCATTAGCATGATGTTAATGGAGAAGGGGTTTGGGTTCACATAGACACGTGCTCACCAGTAGCGTTCTGATCGATGAGCTTTTTAGCGATAACTCTGATTGAACCCTTTGACCGTCTTAAAGGGACCTTAAAGGACCCTCAGAGTTTCAGCTTTCCCTGGGGACGGAAAATGGACGAGTCATCACTACTGCTTACGTGAACCTTTCGCCTTTTTGATATCGACGAGGGATCGGTTCACCAGCTCCCTGAAGGTATTTAAGCACGTGGGGCATCCTGTATACGGGGGGAACTTATTAATATTGGATTGGTAGCTCTGAATGAAAAACGCGGTGCAGAAAATTATATTCCCAAGCA